GGAGGTGCGGAAGTGGCTGAGACAACAGCCAAAAGACTTGTATGCTAGGAGTTTAGACGCTCTGGTAAAGCGATGGGGCAAGTGTATCAGTGTTCGTGGGGGATATGTCGAGAAATATATGTTTTTTTCCAGGTTTTATAGCCATTTGTGACCTATTTACTGACCATCCTTCCTATCAAGAAAGGTAAAGTATCCCTGGGCTTAGTTAATCAAACACCCTGCCACGAAGATATATGGAGAAGGGGAGGTGTAGTTCCACCATTCTTCACCACGGCACTAGATGGAGATGAGTGGTCAGCTTCACGGCTCGGCCACTTTAGTCCCACCCGGGGGAAACGGGCCCCTGGTTTCTATTGTGTGGAAGCTGGGTGGACCCTAGAACCAGTCTGGACGCAATCGAGTAGAGAAAAATCTGTTGCCAATACCGGGAATTGAACACGATTCCTCGGCATCCAACCCGTAGCCTAGTCTCTATACCGACTTAGCTATCCCTGCTCATTCACCGTTATCTAATGCCGTGGTTAAGTATGCGTGGAGCCTTACCTCCTATTCTGTTATGACTCCACAGCCTATTGTTGGACCTTGGCCGATTTTTCTTAGTCCTATACACAGTCGGTAGGACTCCTTGGACGTGTGATTAACCCGCCGAAAGGCCGCTGCCTACACGCAGAATAAATGTACACAGACATGCATGCCTTGAATGGGATTCGAACCCACTCCTCACTAATTGTGTTTAAGCACAGGGTTACCATTATATTTACCAGGAAAATGTTCGGTGTTGATCGTGGTTTCAGCGGGTTATCCTCCTCGCAAAGCGCGGAGTTCAAGTCTGTCAGTTGAGACGCGTGGCGAGGTGCCGCACCTGGAGGCATGGAGACCTGGCGGAAGGAAGGAAAATGCTTGGCATTTCTAACAGTGAAGTTGCTTCAAGGCAAAATTCCATTCCCGGAGCAGAAGTGGCCCATTCGCTGCAAGAATTCAGCCCTGACCTTGTCTTCACAGCACATGTCAGCGTTTGGCAACCTCCCTTCTAAAAGTAAAATTGTCTCTTTGCTAAACTATAAAGCACTATGCCATGAAGACGTACGGAGGAGTGGATGTATAGACCCACGTTTTCTAGATCAAGGCACTGATTCGAAGTGAATGGTCAGTTTCACTCCCGGGCCGCTTTGCCACCGGGGAAAGAGCGCCCGATACTCATTGGATAGGAGGTTGGGTGAACCTCAGAGTCGGTCTGGACGACATGGAAAAGAGAAAAATTTTGACCCTACCGGGATTCGAACTCCGACCGCTCTGTCGTCCAGCCCATAGCCAGTCGCTATACCGACTACGCTGTCCCGGTTCCGTGTGTATATATAAAATGTCTCTTAAAAAAACAGTGAGTAAGAAGTAACCAAATAACCTAAACTTTTCAAACACGTTTCCAACACTTGCAACACATTCGATGAAACACTTTAACCTTAGCTGGTTGTTTGGAACACATAGCTCAGTCGGTATGGCTACGAGGTGTACGGCCATCGTTCGATTCCCGGCAGGGACAAAAGATTTTCCTCTCCACAGTGTCCAGACTGGCTGTGGGGCCCACCCAGCCTCTTATCCATCGGGTAACGGGGGCTCTTTCCCTGGGAGTAAAGCGGTCAGAGCTAGAAGCCGACCGTTTACATCCATCTAGTGCCAAGGTCAAGAATGTAGGCGCTATACCTCCACCTTGTAATAGTCTTCAATTAAACACAGGGACAACTCCACATTTTCAATTTTTTAACCTATAGGCAATAAACTTGCTATCATACAAAAATACTTAAATATCAGCGGTTTCGATTCCCTGTAAGACCATTGGGTATTTCATTTGGCCTAATCCTTCCAGCCGCACTATGGCCCTGGGGTTGACTCAGCCTCTAACAGAAATGTGTACCAAGAATCTTCCTGAGGGTAAAGGGCGACCGGCGCGTAAGGCTGACAACCTTACCGCCATCTGTGAGCCGAATGTCTAGAAAATGTGGGAGCCTCGACGTCTCACAATCCTATAGGCCTCCACGGCCTGTTACAGGGATGGCTTTACCTATTTACCAGGCAATTCGGCTTTATTGACATACCCCTTTGACTTCTCTCGCGTGCTCCTAAGAGCACACATAGCACCAGTCCAGAAACTCAGCTATAGACCCGTGGTTCGTTCGTTGGTTATTTAACGACGTCAGTATCAGGACCATATAGCGTTGGATAGTAGAATGATGAGTTGTAAAGGATTTGTAAGGAAGCGGTTGTAGCTTAATCAACGCACTATCCAGACCCTTGATTGGAAAAACTAAGAAAACTATGAAAAAGTCAATCATTGTAGTCTTTGTCCCAACTGAGATCTGAACCGAGCACCTCCTGAATTTATGGGCGGAAACGGTTAGGGGCAGCCTCTAACCGTTTTCGCTTCTCAGTTGAATCATGAAACACAACTTGTTTTATGGAACACTCTTGCACTGTACATCTGGATCTAATTGTGTCTTGTATTAGGGTACAGTTACACCATGTACTCCCCCCGCCAGTCTGGGGCATTAATGGAGTATCGGCCGAGATCTGTCATGACAGAAATAATCACTCTCTACGTCATTACATCAGTTATATTGGAATTTCCCTCCCATACATGCACACACACCAGGATGTAACCCAGTCCGGCTTCGCCTCTGAATAGCTCCATTCTATGATTCATGGTTCTCGAAACAGACATCGAATTACTCGGTATAGTCATTAACGCTCCTGCTTCGTGTTAGGGATAGCGTAGGTTCGAATCTCAGCTTGAGAAGCAGCTGCCCAAAAATCTGTTACGTGTTTTCCGTCAGTCGCTCTAGCCAAATGCTAGGATAATGCTTTAAAATTATTCTTCCAAATTTTTAGTTCATAATCACCCCTTATTTTTCATTCAACGCAATAAAGCTTGTGTAGTTGACGCTAGTAAGGAGGTTGGTCTAGAAGTAAACACAGAGGAAACTAAGTATATGTTGCTGTCTCGTCACCAAATTCCAGGGCAAAATCATGATATAAAGATAGCCAACAGATGTTTTGAAAATGTGGCACAGTTCAGATATTTGGGAACGACGATAACAGATCGAAACCTGATTCAGGAGGAAATTAAGAGGAGATTAAACTCGGGTAATGCTTGCTACCATTCAGTCCAGGACCTTTTGTCTTCTCATCTGTTGTCCAAAAACATAACAAATAAAATATACAAAACTATAATTTTGCCTGTGGTTCTGTATGGGTGGAATACTTGGTCTCTGGCATTAAGGGAGGAACATAGACTGAGGGTGTTTGAGAACAGGGTGTTGAGGAGAATATTTGGACCGAAGAGGGATGAAGTGACAGGAGGTTGGAGAAAACTGCACAATGAGGAGCTTCATAACTTGTACTCTTCTCCAAGTATAATTAGAACGATCATGTAAAGGAGGATGAGGTGGGCAGGTCATATAGCACGAATGGTGGAGAAGAGGAATGCATATACTCGTAGGATATTGGTGGGAAAGCCAGAAGGAAAGAGACCACTGTGTAGATAATATTAAAATGGATCTTAGAGAGGCAGAATGGAATGGGATGGATTGGATTGATCTGGCTCAGGATATGGACTAGTGAACACGATAATGAACTTTCGGGATCTATAAAATATTGATAAGTTCTTGAGTAGCTGCATAACTGGCGCCTTCTCAAGAGGGGCTCAGCTCCGTGAAGTTAGTAGCTGAGGTTGTTAGTTAAATAAACCATCAAGACATGAACTGGAGGCCTTAAGATTTTAAGCAGAACTCCTACCAACAGTTCTAACCTGATCCTTCACTGCTGGAACCCAATTGTTTTTATTCATTTATTTATTTAAATACTTATTAAGGGTCCCTTTCCACGTACTCACGTCGATAAGAATACACAATATTGATAAAAAGAATAGAAAAAGCTGTTCTGAATAAACATTTCTCATGTAAATGGCTACACCTGACGACAGAAAGACTGTTGATGCAGATCCACCAACCGGTATAATTATCACTATACTCCATACACTATAGGAAACGTCATCATCATTTAGTGACGTAGACCGTTACGTCATATTTAGAAAATTATTAGATTCTGTTTTGAACAAACTTCTTATATTCTTACACCGATGAGAAATTCAAACATATTTTTTTAAGTTGGTTATTTAAGAGCTCTGTCTGACTCGAGACTATATACTGTCGGTTAAACGTTCTTATTTTTCTTTTGTAAGGTTGGCTACACGAGTTATGACGTGCCACAGTCTCATAGAGTGGATGGCCTTTAATTTAATTCAGTGTATGTGCATAATCTCACCCAGAATTGTTACGATTTTAATTTGTAGATATAGATTGGATTTTACCGTGTGGCAGTGATACTACAGTAGGACACAACGCACAAATAACACACATCACACAAAATAACACAACACGCTCAAACAATCACAGCATACAAAACTACAATAAGACATAACACACAAATAACATACATCACACAAAATAACACACCACACTGGAACAAAACACAACACATCAAACTACACACACAATTAATGACGCAGTACACAAAATTAATACAATGCAAATACAGTTACAACTACAATGAAATAAATTAATTGACACAAACTTGCTCCACCTTGGGACTGGTTCAAATGTTCAGTGCCGCTACAACAAAACTTTTGACTCTTTTCAATCCACTTCACATCATCTTTAAACATATCTCTAAGGAGTATTGTCTTGTTGTCTTATGGGATGTGTAGTTTGGCAGAAATTACGGACGTTACGGCAAAGCCTTACGCTTAGATCCTGAAGGAAGTATATTGCTCCGAAACGTCGGCGAACTTCTGCTGGACCACAAGGAATCACACCCCAAGAGAAAATACTTTCAAATAAATAAATAACAATCAATAAGTGATGATTTCCGTGTGGAGGTCATTGTACGCAATGTTGTTTAGAGCAAGAATGGTACTAAGGCACAGCTACCGTTACTGCTATTTTCAGATGAGAGGATATCACACGGTTTCTATATAAGGCAAAGTTGAAGGGCGCGTCTTGCTGTCTTGCAAGGGAACCCCAAGCCTCACGTGAGTACTGTGTGCTTAACTATTTGCTACTATAGAATCCTACATATTAAGGGAGGAACAGACTGAGGGGGTTTGAGAACAGGGTGCTGAGGAGAATATTTAGACCGAAGAGGGGTGAAGTGACAGGAGGTTGGAGAAAACTGCATAATAAGTAGCTTCATAACTTGTACTCTTCTCAAAATATAATTAGAATGATCAAGTAAGAGAGGATGAAGTGGGCAGGGCATGTAGCACGAATGAGGGAGAAGAGGAATGCATATAGGATATTGGTGGAAAAGCCAGAAGGAAAGAGACCACTGGGAAGACCAATGCGTAGGTGGGAGAACAATATTAAAATGGATTTTAGAGAGACAGAGATTTCAGTTATCTCTGCACTTAAATATTAGTCAGTCAGTCAGCTAGTAAATTTCTCTCTTACTCACTTAGTTATTATAAGATTAGTAAAATGGTGTTTTACTTCAAATGACCATCCACGCAACTTCAGAGATAACCAGCATTTACCTCACGGGGCAGCATTACAAGGAACTCTGTTACTGAATTGGTGTTATATTTTCAGCCATTAATGAAATATGGATTGAGTTCTTTCAGTGAGCAGACATTGTTTTGCGCATATTAAAATTCTTGGCATGCATTACGTGTATTTCCAAAGAAAACAATTTTATAGACGGTAATTAATACTAACGGCCGGTCACGGTAGCCGAGCGGTCTAAGGCATGTACTGTCTTCGCTCGCTTGGAAACTGGGATCGTGGGTTCGAATCCCACTCAGGGTATGGATGTTTGTGTGCGTTTTTCTGTGTTTGTGTACAGGTAGAGGCCTTGCGACGAGCTGATCACCCGCCCAAGGAGTCCTACCATATGTCTAAGATCTAGTAAACCGAAGTGAAACGGAGAGTTTCATGGAGGTAGGCCTAGGCCCAA